TACAAATTCTGTTTTTGATATTCTTGAAGCGAAACAAAGGTCTTGGCCGATCGATTTGACATATTCAAAGAATTTCAGATTGCATTCAGAATGTTTTTTTGGGAAAAGTCGGTTTAATGTCGATTTTGCTGAGGGGAATTAGTATTTCTATTTGCAGACATTGTTGTATTAGAAACTGTTGGGTGACTTATAGTCAAAGGCAACTCTACCTAGTCCGCTAATGATTCGAACTTCTTGTATTCAGTGTCCGCATCCAGACAAACAACATACTCGAATTGTTGGTTGCCTACTTAATGGTGAAGCCGACGCTGTAGCCACTGCCTGTTCTGTCCTCATCAGTGATTGAGAAAAAAGCTGTAACTCCCAAATATACTGATTTGGCACACTTCACAAGAACTAACAAACCAAATTTATTCACATCACTAGGTTTTTTCGGCAGTACAAAAAAAAAGCTTGTAGCAAACCTAATAGGTATCAACTGAATGAACCAAACAAACGGCGACGATAAGAAATCGACCTTAACACATTTAATGCAGAAGATAAACGTCTAGATGAACTCGTTCAATCCCATACTTGAAAAAACGATGAAAATGGTTGGATTTGCGTTAGACTGTGAGAACCTTGTCTTTTCCTGATTTTTTAGTCATTCGAAATGTCCCAATGAGGCAAGACTCTTAATCCAGTTTCTTAAAACACGGTGTTTTTAGTAAAAATAATGCTGAAGGTCGCGGCCAAGTCCGTAAATAGTAGATATTCTAGTCTAATCCAAAATTTTCAAGTGTTCATTTCTATCACATATTTTCAAGAAAATTCATTTATTTGAAAAGCGCTGCTACTTTAAGAAATAAAGGCCTTATATCACATGGTTTAAATAATTAATCTTGAATGTGTATTATCTGTTCAAAACCATGTCATGAGTTCGGTTACACACAGGTACCTAACCCCTCAAAATAATGAACTATAACATTAATAAATAACATAAATAACAAATTAATAACATTTGATTTTTCAATGATAAACATTAACAATCTGAAATCCTAAATTAGGTGACAAAAAAAATACCATTTGTTCTATATCTCATATTCATTAGTAGACCGTACATCCTTGACCTAAAAGCATATTCCTATAACATTTGGTTCGATTTTGTCAGACAACCGTGTAATCGACAACGCGATACGCCCCCACTGTGCGGAAATTCAAACTGGTGACTCATTTTGAATTTCCTGACTAATTTGGATAAAACATAGTAATATGCGGACTCTAACAGATTGATCGGTATTTTTAACGAACACGATCCGAGGAATCTATAGTGGATATCACTTCAAAATAAAAATATGGAAATCAATGTGAACAAGTACAATGCGTTTGTCGTTACCAATAGTAGTAATCAGGGGCACAGGTGAAAAACAATTTTTAATCACAAATGTTCTTGTTTTAGAAACGCATTCATATTCAAAGTATTACTGTTATAAAATAGGTTCATTCATGATAAACATTTTAAATGTTACTTTGTCACAACTGTAATAGTTTCTGAAAAATGTCAATTGTTAGGTATATATTATGAATTAAATACATGATAAGATTTATTATCTCATGGAGATGCAAAAGCAATGCAGATGATTATACATTCATTAAAAAAAACATTTAGGGAAGGTCATTTCACATTGAGGGTGCTATTCTCTAGAAAACTCTTCTCCATCTCCTGAAGACGCCAACTTGGTTGATGAAACGCGCGTTGCGGGAAGAAATGCGGTTCTGTTGTTTGGAAAACGTACTTGTTTTGGATTAAATCTGATTAAATCTTTTCGAACGGATGTTCATAACGTCAATATCAGGTTCAGGGGAACACTTACTCCACCTTCTTTTAAAACTGAATTTTTCCGCAGGTGTTTCAGTTATCAAATATGCCATGTGATGAATGACCTTCCCCTCGAATTACGTACAGCTGGTTTCCAAAAATTCAATTATAATTAATCTATTTAGTCATTTATTCAATACACGTCAGTGGTATGATTTCAGAACTTCACATCGTTCTGCTCCTAATTCTGTAAACTTACTTGCCGTAGTGTGGATAAATTTGTATATTTTTCCTTTGTTTTTGTATTATTTAAAGAAAATTCAATAGAGAGGTATTTTTTAGGGTTAAGTGGAAGAACAGTTCAGTTGTTGAATTTATTCAGGAACTGAACTGAACTTCGCCCTTTATTTTCAAAAATTTTGTTTTTTTACATATCTTTTGAAAATAATAAAGTCGATTATTATTATTATAACCGCAAGAATTTAAGTTTAAACTATACAAACGTTGAATTTATTACTAATAACTACATTTCATCAGCAAAATATGTAGGTACATTACAATACTAATACAGGTAGTGTAATGGAACTGTATTTGATTCATATTATTCCATCGAAAATTAAACAGAAAATAATTATAAATATGAACAATGATTTCTTTGAATTTCATTTGTTGTCACGATTGTCTTTGTAAGTGACTTCGTCTACATTTTGTTTGATGTCAGTAGTTGAGGTAAATTGGTTTTCTGCTTTTTTATCAATATACATTATTAATATAATTGTAATAGTAAAGAAGTAATACGAGTACAAATCATGAAATTATGAAACAACAACAAAAATTAATTGGCGCTTCGGGGCGACTTGATTAATTTCAGTGGTGCATTTACTTTTTCAGCTGCAGGAAAACCCGGAAATACCTGCAGGACCACATCATTTAAAGATCTTGATCTGCCAATGTCCTCTCTTTCATAAAATAAAATGTAGGGTGTCTCCAGAGGCTCCAATAAATTCAAGACATCACCAGATGACTATCATCAAACTTAAACCAGTCCGTTTCGTCTTTAACCAATGCGTAATGACCAGATTTAACGCCAGAACCACAGTGACTGCATGAAAATTATAATAGTGGCCTGCTAGATTGAAGTGTTCATCTATTTCGAGCCTTCGTAGGAGTTTGGTGCTTCCGTCAGAGGTTGAGTCATGTTTGAGTCATGTCAGTTCAAAAAAATCTGTTTAAATCTGTTTTCCGTCAACTAGCTGTCGCACCCCTACGAACGACAATCCTTAGAAGTCGAAACTTGTGCGAGCTAAGGATTAACGAGGTCTTACCTTTTAACGTGTGATTCCTAACACGGGATCAGTGTTATTATTAGATTGACTGGTGCCTCAGCTATACTTGTTTTCTTATGATAGTCAGTTAGTTTGGCGCCTGTTTGGCAATACAGTTGATCACCACCCGTTAAAAGTTCCATATTCAAGTATAAAGCTGTTTGAATAATTCACAAATGGAAACCTTTTCTGTCAGAATCAAATAGTTGAAAAAACATACACGAATTGGAGTGAATCGACGCGACATTACAAGTATCCATAAAGATATTGAAAAAGAGTTAAAAAAAGACTGATTTCACTTGGAACCGTGAAGTCAATCAAGAGAAACGATTCATTCAAGTGGATATTATTATCAATTCTTTTTCACTTATTTAATTCTGTAACGTTTTCCATAAATAGTATTTATTTCGATTGATACGAATATCGAGTCCCTATATTTGTAAGCACAATAGTGTAAAAGAATTATAAGGAAAATTATTATTTTCTGGTTATATCTTCAAGCTTGTTATATAATTTCAACATCAATCACTACCGATTTATGTATAGTTAATGGTTATATGATTAGTTAATGATTCATTCTATAAACTGTGAATGATTTGAAGAAAATCATACAAGTTCTGAAATTGAATAACAAACTAGAAGATAAATGATCAGAAAATAACAACTTCTAACAATACAGACTATAAACGCGGGTACTTGACTTTTACAGTAATTATGTTTGGAAATGAAGTGATTAGTTTTTATTGGGGGAATTAATTGAAGGTAAAACGTTTTTTCTGAAGTTCTGCTTATGTGTTAATGAAGAAGGAGAAAAAATGCAGAGAAGTTTATTGTATAAGTTTGAAAATATGTCCTCATAGGACGAAACTGCAGTAACGTCAGTTACAAATAAAAGTGGTAAAAAACATAGAAATTTTCATTTATCTTTTCATTGAAAACTCTTGGTGTAGAAAGAACATCTGAAACAAGCACTAGTCCCTGTGGACAGTTTGCACACTAAATATTCGTAATAGTTGAAATAAATACCATTCATAGGAAACAATGAAGTAAATGAAAGAATATCAATATAAATTCCCATTTGAACGAATCGTTTCCAATCTTAAACTGGCTTCACAGAAATGAAATATCTCCTTTTCAACCGCTTATGTGTATTATTTTGGATATTTTCAATGCCGCATTGATTTGTTTAAATTTGCTTTTTCAACTATTGATTCGGACAGACAAGATTTCAACAATGACGAAAAAAAATCTGATATTTGCACGATAAAGATCATTCATCTTTATAACTTACTCTACTTTGATTCCACAAATATTTAGAAATCTATATTGATGGAGAAGCAGAAAATCATTTCAAGTTGTTTCTTAGTAATTTCAAGAACGAAAAACAATACTAACAAGAGGGATTGTATCACCCATCACCCACCATACTCGCCAAACCTCACCATCTTTTCAAGCACTTCGCAAAAATGCAAAAACTACCTTCGTCTACTTCATCGAATCCTCAGCACACAATTTTTATGCTGACTGAATTAATCGTCTAGTGTTACGTAATTGATTCAAATGGCGCTTATTTTGATTAAATTGAATAAGCCTTCAATGATATATTACCGTTCAAAGTGAACTCATAAAAACAGACGAAACTTTTGAAACAACCTGATAGCCTAAAGATAACAACTAAAAATGAAACAAAGAGCTGAAGGAATGAAACTCATCAGCATATCATATTTGTATTGCTGTCGTGAAAAAAACTTGTGAATTGAATACCCGACCGTAAGCAGTTTTCCTTCAATCGAAGTACATTGATACCCGATGCAAACGGGCGACAATTCTAGGTGCCGCAAATTATACATTGAGACTAACGTATTTTTTGACGGAACTAAGTTAATAAATAACGAAACACATGAAACGAGAAGAAAGTTTTTGAAAATATAATGAACGGAAGTCTTTGAAACACTCACTCTCATCACTCTGCGGTGCTTGAAGAATAGCGCTGTGCTTCTTCTTCACTTCTTCAACATTCGCTTGGATCTTATCGATCATGTCACGTATTTCTTCGACCTAAAATCAAGAAAACTTCATCAAAAAGAAAACTTTGAAGTTGTATATAAAGTAGAAAGTATTATTATTATTTCAAATGTTTGGGTGCTTCATGGTTATCAGAAAGTGTCCATCCCCTACCTAATCGAAACTATCTCAAACATTAAAAAAATATATATAGGTTAGGTCGAAAGTGAGAGTGTCAATTCGACCCTTCACCGCAACCCGCAATGGTTTATTGTGGCTCACACCTATTCAAACTAGACTAAATACTATTTATCCAGATCAGATACAGTTTGTTAAGCCTTTCTATTGAGGAGCAATTTGCTACCAATTTAGACGTTTCTCGGTAGGAGCCAAGAGCTTCCAACGCCGCTTGACTACCAGTCTCTCTGTACACATTCCAATAGCATAGATTTCCGCTTGAAATACAGTCGCATAGGGCCCTAGGCAGGATGATATCCCTGTCCTGGGTCTGCCACTGCAAACACCTGCACCAGAACCTGAAGTTGGTTTTGATTCATCTGTGAACCAACAACTATCTGCTCTTAATATTTCCTTCTTCCGGAGGATCCAGTCCTCTCTACTCAGGAAAAGTACTGCATAAGTACTGCATTTAAGAATAATATCAGAGGTCACTCCCAGAATGCTGTGACTTCCAGTGTCAACCAGCAGTCTATTGTACTCTGTATTAGATTTATTTGTGCACTTGGCAATGTGCACAAGTCTATATGCAGTCCATCTAGCCTCTCTCTCCAGAAAAATGTGAAGAGATCTCCATGACCGCTGACGGTATGGTACTGATGGCCACAAATCCTTCGAAATGTCCATAGGGGCAGCCTGGCTTTGTGTAAAACTTTTCCAAGTGAGCGTTCCAGGTTAGTTTTTTATCAATAACAATGCCAAAATATTTCACCTCCATTCCAAATGGAATGACCTCATCATTGAGGGAAAGTGGCGTTAAATCATCAAATTTTCTCATCCTGGTGAAGGGGTTTATCACAGTTTTGCTGGGGTTGGCAGACATCTGCTACCTCTGACACCAACTATGGAGGATATTACAAGCTACCCTTCTCGACGTGCATCTTGCCAAGATGACAAGATCATTTGCATAAGCTTGCAGATCTACTTCTCTTCTGTCGAGGGCATCAAGCAGACTATCCATAAAGAGCGACCACAGGTGGGGAGATAGTACCTCGGCTTGAGGGCAGCCCCTGGAGACCCTGAAACTAATGGCCTCGTCTTGAAGAGTCGTAGTTGCAGTTCTGTTTACAAGCATAGCATAGATCTAGCAGTTATGGTCGATTCTATGCCTTTTCCAGCCAGGGATGATCATATAGATTTAGGTAGTGCATTGACAAATGCTCCTTCAATATCGAGAAATACAGCAACCGCAAACTTGATGTCAAAGGTTTGGGAAATTTTCTCAACAAGGTTGTTTAAGCTAAATCTGTCGATTTTTCGGTTTGATATGCATACTGGTGGTTATTCCTGATGTATCCGTCCAGTATCCTCTCAAGTCCTTTCAACAGAAAGGATGTACGGCTGATTGGTCGTACCGATTTTTATAGAGAGTTGTAAAATTTGTTCACAGTTCCGAAATTCATAATTACAGAATTAGATAGATGAAATTATTTCATACGACGTCTCATTTTAGGTTGTGAAGATCACCACCTAAAATTCAAAATTATCAATAATGGATTCCAAAAACTAAATATGAAAAGTCAGCAAGTATTTCAAGTTCGTCAGTACTGTATTCTAAACAAAAGCAAGCATTTCGAATCTTTTTTTATTTTGGCAACAAAACCGCATCAGCCTTCGGCTATTAGAGGTGTCAAATAATGAAACAAATCATATCAGCAGTTATTTGCATTAAGCTAGTCTCCTACTTGTCTAGCACAGCACGGCGCTGTCCGTCGCCTGACGGCGACGGGTAGTAGCATCGCCCACTTGTCCAGCTACAACCAGCATAAAGGTGCTGTTTGTTCGATTTCAAGGGAATTTCAGTTGACACTGAGCGGTGACAGAGACATGTCTATCACTAGCAGTTCTGACAAAGAAGTCGACATTATAGTGGTCGCATTATTGAATATAGAAAAAAATAGTCACTAAAAAGAAGGATATGGGTCCATACCATTAATCAAAAGAGGACAAATCTGGAAGAGTTCCATAATCTTTTCAACGATCTAAAAGAAGACGAGGAGAAATTTTTCCTATTTCCGAATGACTCTAGGCAAATTTTTACAAATTCTGGATATTTTAAAGCCTGCCTTAACAAGCAACTCAATTTTTCCTTGTCTATTTTCATAGGTACAGGCTGACACTGTGCTGTCAACTGATGAAATAGCAAAACAGAGAGACAGAAACTTCCCAGGCACGTTTGGACAAGTTGATGCTAGCAAGCGCTGTCCGGCAAATAACGGTACGTTATTTGCCGGATAGGATCGGAGAGCTGGAATCCTTTCCGGCGGAGGATGCTCTTGGCTGTGCCGTGCCGGGCTAGTGGGCGTTTATCCATTCATTTTTATTGTTCCAATTCTATCCGTATTTTGATGGGATGGGATGGGCCGTGCTGTGCTGTGCCGGACAAGTGGGCGACATGCTTTGTACTTTAAATAAAACTTTGATTTTTTGAAAGAATTTGATGATATTGTTCGTTTTTTTTTCAAATATTTGACTTATGTTGGAGAGAATACCGTTGTTAAGCCTTTCAACAGTCACGGACACTTAACATGCAAACAATTCTGGTTGCGGTTCGTTTCAGATGTTCATGCGTTAGACGAGTGTGGCCTAATCGCAGCCTAGAAATTATGACTTGATGGTTGCACTTGGTTGCTTTGTTGATCTTTGAAGTTCGGCCTTGATTTCCTTGGATTTGAGGGCTTCCAACCCCAATGGCGATTCCATGTTCTAACAATTTTACCGTGGAAAGTATCAGGTCAGTTGGGAATGTTTTTATATCGGGTGTATAAGTGTCGGATCTTCTTGATCTTTTCGAGCATGTTTATCGGCGACTTCATTTCAAGTTATTCCAGAATTCGAACGTATCCATAGGAGAGTCACTGACTTGGTACTGATTAGTTTCATTTCTTCTTTGATTATATTGGTTAGTAGGCTATCACGTCAATTTCTGTATCTTCAGATATTACAAAACGTTTTTTGGTTCTCCTCTTTTCAAAAACTTTTTCATCGTTTCTGAATCGGCGATGAAGCATAGCAAAAAAACGCCGATTAGGTAATACACGATCGGGAAACGAATTGTTTGGAGTGCTCTCACGCTATTTTACTGGCACACCAAGTAGGATTGTAACATACCACATTTTTCTTGATGGGAAAACGACATTTCAAAAAATATTCGAACAGTAGTTGACAGTTACAATAATTTATGATATTGTCATGATATAATTGAGAATATATGACAAATAGTATTTCAACAAAGTTTCAAGGCAGCTTGATTACTCATAATAATTCTGTTTCATGGAATCAAACACATTTTTTCCAACCGCATTATTATGATGCTCCAGTATTTTCTGTTCTGTACAAAAACGGTTTCAATGTTATCATTATAGCAGATATATTTTGATTCACAAAATGAATACGGCTAGTGGAATGACTTCAAGAGGGAAATTATCGTTTTGTAAATTAATACCAAATGGCTCAGTGGTGTCAAGTAGTGGTACGACATGATGATCATGGGTTTCACAGGTTCAAATCGCAGCGCAATTTTTTTTGCTGTTAGTAATAAAATATTGTCATTCGTATAAGTACCAAAATTGGATATTTGGACAATCATGAGGTTTTATTTGCCAAAACAAAGAAATGTTTTGGACTAGTGAAATAAACAAATATTTCCAAATAAGTGATATGACCTTTGTTGTTGAGAATGTTTTAATGAATGAAATATAGGGTGTTCCATTTAAAAAAATATCATTACATGAAATATTTTGAAAACGAGACAGTCAATTTTTTGTTTGTTTTCGGCATCGAAAATACCATTAAAAATGCTACTAGTTTGCCCATTTACCCGAATTCGCAAATGCAATAATAAAGGAGTTGGCAATAGTGTCGACTTAATTTGGAACACACTGTATATGCCAGTCCGTAGGTTGAGCACACTATCCTTAAGCAAAAAAAAAGATATTGAGAACGAAAATTCAATAACAGGCAAAGTAAAGGGCATCCTTCATATATCTTCGATAAGTTAAAAACGAAACGAAAATTGAGAGAGTATAAATCCTCGACTTTAAAGACTCCAAAAATACAGCCGTAGATTGGTCCCGATTTTTTCAGAATTCAACATACACAACTGTTCGTATACTTGGACAAATCATACGACAGGATGATGGAGAAGGAAATGACTGGAATTTACAAAATAAGTTGTGAGAACGGTAATGAAAATAATGTAGATCAAATTAAGTGACCTTAAAAAACATAACAATTTCGGATTGATGTACGACAAAATACTAATACAATGATTAGTACTAAAAATGTATTCATAACTAAGTTCGTGCGAATTAATATTAGTTCAGTTATCTCCTGATGATACTTTGATGAGCTGTTGCGAATGATAGGAAGCGTTGTCAATAACTATTACACTATTCGCATCCAAATTTGGAATCAATGTGTTTTCAAACCTTTCCTCAAAATATTAGCTTTCATGTTCTTATGATAGTCAACATTGCAGTCCTCAAGTTTTTTTCCACATAATTTCAAAGAACCAAACTTGAGCTGTAGATTCTTATATACATTGAAACACTCTCTGTGTTTCAATATTCAAATGCATCCGAATCTCATTCACTGGTATCTCTTTTTCGCATTGTTCACCAGCACTATTGGAATCACTACACAAGAAAGAGTCTGCGTTGCTATCACACTCGTTATTACTATTAGTACTTATCCAAGGACGCCACTTTTTAAACAGAGAACAAACATTTTAAGTAATTATAACTACCAATATCGAATTTCAACACTCAAATCGTGATCAGTCCCTGAACTGAGGGCGCCGATAGCTTGTGTTCACA